TCCAACCCTTACCACAAGTTTCCTAAAATCCGACTCCGGGCCCACGTGCCCGGATTCCGAAATTTTTCGAAGGAAGTTGTTCTCTATAACCTAAGGATCAATAAAATATGATTTCTAATTCATTTCATAACACATTTCGTGGTTTAATCTAACTTTTGTCAAAACTCTAGGTTTTGCTCTAACCCCATGATTTTACCTTAATCCTAGTGTTTAATCTACCTAAGACATAAGTATTAAGCTAAGAATAGGTGGAATAAGCTTACCTCAAGATGCTAGGTGGAAGTCTTCTCTCAAAAGCTCCCAACGTCGCCCATGGAGGAGTGAAAAGTGTCAAAAATTACTTAGAACCCGAATTAAATGAAGCTCACTGCTTCAACGATTTCCGCATCTAGGGTCAGGGTCCCGCATCTGCGAGAGGAGACCGCATCTGCGGAATTGGCTAAAATGGCTGGGACCGCTTCTGCGGTCTAGAAGCCGCATCCGCGTAGCCGCTTTTGCGGTTTCGCCTGGCCAGCTCTGGGCCGCATCTGTGAGGCTACGACCGCTCCTGCGGTCTCGCACCTGCGGTCGAACAATCGCAGATGCGGTTATGACAGAAGCAGATGCTTCAGCACTTCTCAATATTTCCAACTTCACTCGAGCCTCGTCCGTTTGACGCTCGGGGCTCTCGGGCCCCGCCCAAACATACCGACAATTCTGAAATCACGAGACGGACCTACTCGAACCTTCGGAACGCCCGAAACAACGCTAAATCTAAGATTCACCTCCTAAAACCAAATGAATCAAACTTATGAATTTCAAGTTCTTAATTTTCCTCCAACGAGCCGAAACACACTTAAACTACTCGGATTGACACCAAATTTTACGGGCAAGTATTAAATGTTATATCGGACCTGTACCGGGCTCCGGAACCAACATACGAGCCCGATACCCATGTGATCAATCATTAATTAGTTTCTTTAAATCCTTAATATTTCAGATTAACAATTTCTAATAAAAATTCATTACTCGGGCTAGGGACCTCGAAGTTCGATTCCGGGCATACACCCAGGTCCCATATTTTCCTACGGATCCTCCGGGACCGTCAAAACACGAATCCGGTTCCGTTTGCTCAAAATGTTGACCAAAGTCAAACTTAGCCTTTTAAGAAAATCCTAAGGAATCAAATGAACATATTTCAACCCAAACTCTTCCAAATTCTGAATCAACCACCCCCGCGGGTCGTAAATCAAATAAAGCAAGCGCGAAAAGTTTTATTTAGAGGAACGGGGTTCTAAGAAGCAAAACGACCGGTCGGGTCGTTACACATCATAGTCCTCTTATATGTATGTTTCTAACATCAATTGTTCTCCATGTTATTCTGTTCATTTAAAGTAGTCGACTGTTCTAGCCAACTATTTCAATTAACTATTACAGTCATAAGCATATACCGTAAGTATCCATGAGGGCCGGTCACATTTCAAGTCTATAAGGTTCATTGGAAGAATCGAATTTCTTGTCACACCATAGCTTGGAGTCTATATCCAGGTATTTTAGTTTGTCCTATTTTGCAAATTAAACAAGCACTTTGCAATATAGAGATACAATACACTATGTAAAATAAATATCACAGGTTTTATTTGTTCTTTAAAATAAGTAATATCTCACTCATTTACAATTTTAATTAACTCGAATAACTAATTCTGGTGCTGCAACCCAACCAACGATTCGATAAGAGTAGATTCGTTTGTCTAGAACACAAATAAAGGTGAGAATAAATGAGAAATAAGAAACAAAACCATGACAGAACCAGCACTTACATTTCTCACATCAGCATCTCGAGCGTTAATTAAGATTAAGTATTCACCAATATGAATCTCACTTGGTATTAGACATGTAATTACCTGAAAGTAATATAATATAGGAAGCATGGAAGAAGCAAAGAGGATTAACTGATAGTACATAAACGAACAACAAATTCTTCTTCCTTAAAATGCCAAAAATTGAGCTTCTTTATTGCACGCTGATAAGCACTATAATGTGCACTCACACTTTGCAGTTTTCGATTGGAATAAGCAAGGCAAGAAATGACTCATTCAGCGTGACTGAATTTTTTTCAATTACCAACTGTAATAGACAACAAATAAAATATCAAGAAAGAAAAAAAAGACACTATTCCGACTCTCGCTATCAGAAAGACGTTATTCTAATTCATGATATCAGTATTCTTGCGGTATGAACTAAACTAAATTAAAGCAAATTGTGCACCAACCACAGGCAATTGGGAAAGTGTGTTTGAAACCGTTGTATTAATAAGATTAGGATAAGAAAAAAGGAATAAGCACGATTTGACATAATATTAATTCTCGTGTACTATATCAACTATGTTCTTCATTTTATCTAGCTAGTGCTAAGAAGAAAAAAGTTCGAGCACAAGTATTTCATAATTGAGATTTGAGACAAACCTGCATTATCTCAAGAATGTCTGGCACTAAGTTGAAGTTGTTGTACATGCTTGCTGCACCAAAAATAGATTGAACAAGAACCAAATAATGAGCAGTTTCCACATAGCAACATGTGTACGTTGCCATCCAATCTTTCCGACGTAGATTTTGTTTACTTGAATTGAAGTAATAACTAAATGAATGTATTACTACGCCGTCAATATGTGCCGAGCATCACCAAAACACTTAAATTTGTAGGAGTCAAGTAATTGGTAAAACTTACCGATGCACATGAATAATATATCTATGAAATATGAACAACCAGGTATTGAAAGGATCATCCACATTAATTCATTCTTTGAGCGGATTTCCAACGGAATCAATAATGTCATTCGGCATGATTTCCCGCAAATGCTAGGACATCTTGACAGATACCAGATCCAAGATGGTTTAAATTGGATCCATGGGGTATGCACGACCTCGTAAATCCTTTTATACGCTACCTGTGGCCATCAACACCTAGGAGAAACAGCAAACTGATACAGAAATTATATGACTCGACTCTGCCTAATAAGATTTTTTAAATATACTTTTGGATGTTGTTGGAAGTGCTAGTAGTATCTCCAACTATAAGAAGAGAGCAGTTGGAACCTGCAGCAAGTTTGGTTCGACGTCACCTCGTTGTGAGTGCCTCTATCTGTTCTCTTTCTTGACAAATTTATTTTCCACCTTCACTTTTGTGAGTAGTGCCTCATCTTCTGCATCTGGTTTTGGTTCTTTTAGCAAGGGAACTGCAAACAAAATAAATTACATCCATATACAGTTCCTTCCATAAATCATATGGAGTACAACTTATTAAAATTATCTACTTAAGAATGAAGACGAAAGTACCTTTTGAATTTAAATAGGATGGTTAACGTCATATTAACTAACATCACGGTCAACCAAATCAGCAAGGCGTCTGCCACCAATTTATATTATGTCAGCAACAGAAAGCATCATTTTATTTATTCTCATTTTGGTACTTCCCTGAGCATCAAGAGCCAAGATAAACTTAAAAAACCTAGATAAAGAGCACACCTTTCAACTTTCATTGTGCAAATCACGAACAAAATATATTAATTACATGCGCCCTGCATATATCATGATACAAAATCAGGTCAATACACAAATCAAAAGTTTGAACGGTCTAATGGAAAAAGGAACTTATGCATTCATACTACACACAAACGTTTTTGCTTTTATGCTTGTCCATCTTTTTTCAACCTGTCCATCTTCTCTACTCCAGTTACTTAATTTGTAGCCTGCTATACACGTGTTTTTCATTGCTTTTATAGATAGGTGCAATTTCACTCTCATATTTGATGCTAAACTTTTAGGTGAATAGTTAAAGGAATATTCGTCCATTTTAGCAGTTACCTCTCGCATAAGTAGGAAGAGTATAAGGGCCTATGTAGAAACAATATATTTTTGTTCAAACATACAGCTTTCCTCAAGCTCAAGAGTTAATCGAGGAAATTACATTTGCTCCTTTTGGCATAAATATAGGCATCCTTCACAAAATAATTGAGTATTTTGATTTACGTAGCGCAATGCACTACAACTTGTATTCGATAAACCTAAATTCTTAACCGTACCTCAAAATGATGTCTAAAAAGAAAAATAAAATGTAAATTAGAGTAAACATGACGCAATCTAGCCATAATTGATTCAATATTGCAGGGAAGATCAAATTATATTTATTACGCAGTTACTCTACGTTGGGTACTTGAAGTTGGAGTTGTCTCACCACTTGCCTATTTTGAGGCCTTGACAGGGTTGCTCCACACCAATCCTGTCAAAATTCTCGTGTACTATCTTCACACAACTTACAAATAGTTTTACTAATACACAAATAAAATTTCGGTATAGATATCTGAACTTTACAATTTCAGAAAGGAGCAAAAGGTAAGAAATTCAAACCTTAGGCTTGCTATTATCAAATAGTCTTAAATTTGATATGAACACAGAAAGTTCAACGGTTAAACACAACAGAGTAAAAAGAAGAGCTGTTCAACCTAATTTATTTTTAACTTTATTAGAAATTTGGAGTATTTAGTATTACTATTATTATTTCAATTGGCACAAACTCCCCCAACCACGAAATCAAAACATGCGATATCATCTTCGCTTTAGTACCAGTATTACTTGATTCATCCTTCTCCCATAGTTATTGAGAGATCATATTTATATCGCCTGGGATGGTGATATTTTTTCTGCATTAGACCTCTATAAACAGGTTCAACAAAAGTATAAATAAAACATGAATGTACGCACTAAAATGGACTTTATAACCCACAAAATAAAGGATAATCGCATAGACAAAATTCATATATTATAGTTGGAGAAACACAATTATCTATAAGTAGAACTAAATATTAACTTTTTCTTGCTTTAAAGAAGAAAACTCACTGTTTAAAGATCGCTTTGGAGCAAAACAAAAAAAGAAGTATCTCAAGGTTAATTCGATACAAACCAGCTAGTCAGAATTTGAAAAAATTGAATTTTATTACGGAAATAGATATGTTTCTTTATAGCTATCTAATTGAGTCACACCTAAGACAATTATTTAACACACGCAATATTCTCTCTCCGTACAGTAAACCTTTGGCACCCTCAAACGGTAACTTTAGAGCGTCACCTTCACGCTCCGCCCCATGGCGCCGTCGGACGGAGCCGTACCGATGCGTACTACCTATCAAACTGAATCTCCTACTATGGCTAACCCGACTGTTGAAGGAATTGCAAATATTCCAACATATGCTACCACAATCACCACTGCTACACCTCCTCCTACCACTACAATCTGCCATCCCAGAGAATCAGTCATTGCTAGGCATACCACTCACAATGGAATGCCTGCAATGATCTTCAAATCCAAGGATTACTACGGAATAATGGCTGAAGAATGTAGACTCACTATTGTTGGAAGATTTTTGAAACCAAGGCCCCAAATTGAAAAAATTAGGTCTACATTCAGAGAGCGTTTTCCGGTTAAGGGCAGAGCTAAAATCGGAGTATATGACAACTATAATGTCTTCTTGGATTTCACAAACGAGGATGATTTCAACTCAGTATGGTACAGAAGAGTCGTAGAAATCGACGGACTTCAGATGTGGCTACAAAAGTGGACGCCAGATTTCAGACCAGATGAAGATATTCCAATTGTTCCGGTATGGGTTTTACTTCCTGGCCTCCCATTCAATATGCACACTTGGCATTATGCCAAACAAATTTGCAGTGAGGTTGGTACTCTACTAGCTCTAGATGTTGTGACAGGGGGTAAAACTAGGCCAAGTATGGCCAAAGTTAGGGTGAAAATTGATCTGCTCAAACCTATTATAGACAGTGTATTTGTGGGATCAGAGGATGAGAACGCACCGCTGAAAGGATTTACTCAAAAAATCGAATATGAGAACATCCCTAAATATTGTAAGCAGTGTAAAAAGCTTGGGCATAACCTAATGAATTGCAGAATCCTTGAAAAGAAAAGAGCTTTAGAAGCAGAGAAAAACAATCAAGATGATAACTATATACAACTGGAAGAATGGATCAGTGGAGTACAAAAAGAGAAGAATGAAGAAAGAGGGGAAAACAAAAGAAATCTTGAATTATCTACAAAAGAGAACAGCAAAGAACAGGATGAGCAGACACAAAATACAATCAAGGGCAAGTCTTTGGGTGGGGAAGCAAATATAGAAGAAAGAACTGCCCAAACAATCCGAATGGGTACACAACATACTTTGGAGACTAAACAAGATCATGATATTTTTTTGACTAAGGAAAATGATATTGTATCCATAGCAGTAAGAACTGGAAAGAAAAAGAAGAAAAGGAAGAACCAAAAGAAAATGCCAAAGAAGAAAGGTAAGGTGGTTTTCAAACCAGTTCTTTCGGGCAATAAATCGAACTCCACTTCCAGGACTTCTACAAATCAAAACCAGATCTATACAGCTGAAAATATGACCAAAAACAACAGCAATATGGAAGAAAAGCAGGATACCAATAATAACAGTATGGGAGCTAAGCAATATACAAATATGCATAGCAACCAACTTGTTGCAATGGTACAAGAGAGTTCATTAAATGAACATATGCATGGCAATAGGTTGCAGTCAACAGAATCAGAGAAGGAGGAGAATTCTGTTAATAATGAGCTACCAGATATAAATGCAGAGAAACAAGAGATAGCCACAGAACAGATATTGGAAGAAAAGAGAGATCAAAACAAAAATCTCGACATGGCATCCAAAGAAAAAATAACTACTAAAGGAAATGATGCTGCTATTGAATCTAGTTCTTGTTCCACATGTCTACCAATAAATATCATTGAGCATCCTGGTAAAGAATTAATGGTAGAGTTGTATGCAGATCAGAGACAAACATCCTATAACAACACTGAAAGAACTATTGATCATCCGATACAAGATCCCTCACTACATCAAAGTCTTGAAGGACTCAATCAGAGAGAAGATAGCAGACAAGACAAAAGTATTACAGAAGAAGAAGAATATATACTAGAAGGGAGGGGAAGAAGCAGATCCAGAAACTCCAATAGAAGAAACAAAAGCAGAACCACATCCTCTGTAAAGAGGGCACAAAAGAATGATACTTCCCTCCAAAGACTCCATGATTAATATAATCTTTTGGAATATTAGGGGGGTAAGGTCAAAAAAGGCCATACATAGGCTAAAACAACTTATCGACATCAATAACACTCTCTTTACTGCAATCATGGAACCTATGGTTGACAAGGATAAAATTGAGGGGTACAGAAAATTTTTGGGTTATCAGGAATGCATTTCTAATGACAACGGAAAGATTTGGTGCTTCTGGAAGAATATCAGTCAAATTTCTATTATTAACAATGAGGATCAACAGATCTCCATCAAAATTGATGATGGATCGACCAACCACCCTATAGTTATCACTGCAGTTTATGCTAAGTGCAGTAATATAGAGAGAAGAAAACTGTGGAGCAGCCTGAAGAACATCAATTTGTCTATAAATGGACCGTGGTGCATTGGAGGTGACTTTAATGTTATCCTGGAGCCTGAAGAAAAATTAGGTGGCAATCCTCATAGGATGCACAGGAGTTTAGAATTCCAGAATAGCATGAATAATTGCGGAACTACTGACATCGGTTATACAGGTCCAAAGTTTACTTGGTGCAACAACAGGAGACCTCGAAAAAGAATTTGGAAAAGGCTTGATAGAGTTTTAATTAATGATAAGTGGTCTCAAAAATTTCAAAACACTACCGTCAGACATTTAGTGCGGACTGTATCAGATCATAGGCCGTTACTCATGAATTCCTTTGACTCTAATAATACTCACATTAAGTATTTCAAATTCCTTAACTTTTGGACTTTACAGGAGGGATTCCACAATCCTGTTAAGGAAGTTTGGCATACTAATATTACTGGCAATAGCATGTGGAGACTTCAGTCTAAATTAAAGCTCCTTAGCAGAACGCTATCTCAATGGTCTAGAGAGGATATTGGCGACATTCATGAACAAGTTCTGAAATGGGAGGAAAAAATTCAGAGCCTTGAAGAACATGAGATTACCACCAATACTGAGACAGCTCGGGAAGAAACCAATAAGGCACATGCGGAATATATTAGATGGCTGAATATGCAAGATTCCCTACTAATCCAAAAAACAAATATCAAAGGGTTTAAGGAAGGAGACAGAAACACCAGATATTTTCATAGTATGATCAGAGAAAAAAGAAGAAAGCTTCAGCTAAACAAGATCAAAAAATCATAAAGGCAAATGGATACAGGGAGACGATAAAATAGCTAAAGTTGCTATTAAGCATTTCAATTCCATATTCAACCTTCCTGTAGCTAACTTGGATCCTACTTTACTGAATTGTATCTCTAAAAGGATCACAGAAGAAGAAAGCGACAACCTTAATAAAGAACCAAGTGAAGAAGAAATTAGACATGCAGTTTTTAGCTTGTCTGCTTCTAGTGCAGCTGGTCCAGATGGCTACAATGGCACATTCTTCCATAACTGCTGGGACATCATTGAAGAGGTTATCAACGCTTTGTCTGGGATTTCTTCAAAGGTACTCCTCTTACTAAATTTTACACACATACTTGCCTTGTCCTTATTCCTAAGATAGATGGCCCCTCTTCCTTTAATGATTTCAGGCCTATAAGTCTTTCTAATTTTACTAATAAGATTATTTCTAAGATCTTCTCTAATAGACTTAACCCTCTATTGACCACTCTTATTTCCACAAATCAAAGTGGCTTTGCTAAAGAAAGACTCATTTCTGAAAATGTTCTATTAGCACAAGAAATTGTTCAATCTATCTCACATACGAATAAAGGGGGCAATATTGTTTTGAAGTTGGATATGGATAAAGCCTATGATAGGATGTCTTGGACCTTTGTTACTTCTGTTCTTAGGAAATTTGGTTTCTTTTAATTCTGGATTTACATGATTATGAGTCTTTTATCTGGAATTTGGTATTCTATTATTATTAATGGTAATAGAAAAGGCTTCTTTACATCCAATCAAGGTTTAAAACAAGGTGATCCTTTATCCCCTTCCCTCTTCATTTTAGCTGCTGAAGTTCTTACTTGTTCTCTGAATAATCTTCTTTTACACGACAATTTCATCCCCTTTTCTATGCCTAAGGGAGGTCTCCAAATCAACCATCTTGCATATGCTGATGATATTGTTATATTCACCAGTGGTAATAATGCTTCTATTAACCTTATCATGAAGACCATTAAGAACTATGAGAATAGCTCTGGTCAGAAGGTTAACACTGACAAAAGTTTCTTTTTAACTGCACCTCAAACTTGTGCTACTAGAATCAGTAGAATCAGGAATGCTACAGGCTACATGGATAAGAATTTTCCTTTTACATACCTAGGATGTCCAATCTGTACAGGGAGAAAGAGGATTGTTTACTTTGATTGCTTGGTTAATAAAATAATTAAGAAGCTTAATGGGTGGCATGGTAAAATACTTTCATATGGAGGTAGACTTATTCTTATTAAATATGTTCTACAATCTCTCCCTATATATACTCTATCTGCTATGTCCCCTCGCAAGAGCACGTTTAACTTGATTGAAAAGTATTTTGCTAACTTTTTCTGGGGCTATTCTGGGGAACATAAGAATTATCATTGGAGATCTTGGAAAAAATTATGCTTCCCCTTGGAGGAAGGAGGCATTGGAGTGAAAAGAATGGATGTCTTTGATAATATTCTAGCTACAAAAAGGTGGTGGAGGTTCAGGACCATCCCTTCTTTGTGGGCTACTTTCATGAGACATAAATATTGCCCAAGATCTCACCCCGTGAGTAAAAAGAATGCTTCTGGTGACTCTCATGCTTGGCAGAAGATGAGAAAGGTTAGAGATAAAGCTGAACCTCACATCTTCTGGATTATCAGTTCGGGAAATTCTAGTATGTGGTGGGACAATTGGACTGGTAAGGGCCCTTTGGCATCCTTGTTACCAGATATCAACAACAGTCCTAAAGTGCTAGTCAAGGAGTTCATTCAACATGGAAACTGGAATATGCATAAACTTAGAGGCTCCTTCCCAGAGGACATTGTTCAAATCCTTATAAATGTCAACATTGGAAAGCAAGACATCCCTGATCAAGCCATATGGGAACTCACAGAGAATGGAAAGTATTCCAATAAAACTGTTCTAAACATCTTCAGAGATGTCAAGCCTAAAGATCAATTCTTAAGCAAGGTATGGCACCCTAACATCCCCTTTAAAATTTCCTTCTTAACTTGGAGATTATGGCTGCCTTAACTTCCATTTGATGAGGTAATTCTTAACTTTGGGAAACAAATTATTTCAAGATGTGTATGTTGTACTAACCACTCAAATGAGTCTATACAACATGTTTTCATAGAAAGTGATGCAGCTAGGTACATTTGGAAATTCATTGGTGCTCATATGGGTATCATCCACAAACAGATTCCCATTAGAGGGTGGTTTAACCACTGGTGGCAGCAAAGGAGCAAAAATGTCATACACAAACAAGTTCTACAAATTACTCCTATCATAGTATGTTGGGAGATTGGAAAAATAGGTGCTCATGTAAATATGATGATCAAAATAGATTCAATTTCTACAAGATGAAGCAACAGATAATATAGAACATACAAGCTGCAGTTCATAGAACCTTCCCTAGGTGCAAACTGACTTTGCCTTGGATCAAATAGTGTGATGATATGATAAGATTACAACTAGTTCCTGAAGCTATTATTGTAGCTTGGAGGAAACCTCTCCTAGGATCCTTCAAACTCAACACCGACGGTAGCTATATACATGAGAATGGGAAAGCAGGTCTTGGTGGTACTATGAGAAATGATGAGGGAGATTTCATTATGGCATTCTCAGTCCAAGCCAAATGCAGTAGCAATAATGATGCGGAAACCCAAGATGCTTTATTTGGGATCAAATGGTGCATACAAAATGGTTACTCTAACTTCAATATAGAGTTGGATTCCCCCCTGGTGACAAACATGGACTCCCTCCTGGTGACAAACATTTTAAAAGAAGGAAATACGGACAACTACAAAATGAAGCGGATCATCGAGAATATTACACAGTATATGAACCAAGCCAAAATCACTCCTATGCAATGCTATAGGGAAGCAAATCAAGTGGCTGACTGCCTTGCTAAATTAGCCACAACCACCTCTAGCAGTAACATATATCTTTCCTTCCAACAACTTCCTAGAGGTGACAAAGGCCCTTTCATAATGGATAAATTGCAGATGCCTAGCATTAGGACAAAGTATGATAAAGCAATTTTTTTTGTAAGCTAACCAAGTTGTGATAGTATCACACAGAGGTGAAGTGTATGTAATCACGCTTCTGTGTTTTTTGGTAAGGATATATATATCCTTGTGTTGTAATCGTTGGAGGTAAGGCTATCCCCCTCCTATTTTTGAAGATAAATACAACACCCCCAGTGAACCCTGGGAAATTATATTAAAAAAAAATTTGAGTCACACCTATTTAGCACAGAACAATCATGGAATAGCAAAATTAGAATGTATGAAGAGAATTCAAAAAAAAAAAAAAAGCACTGAAAGAGAAAAGACAAAGAAGACAAGAGAAAGAAAAGATGAAGGAAAAAGAGGAGAAGATATGGGCAAAATTAATTGAAAGAGAACATACCAGCAGGTAAAAGATCCAACAACATAAACAAAGCTGAGAAGAAGAGCATAGAGAGACATGGGCGTATCTAGAGTATAGTGTATGGGTTATCGGGAACCTACTAACTTTTGCGAAGGCCCTGTATTTTTATAAAAGTTTTACTAAATATTTATAAATATTTAACAGTGAACCCAGTTATTATGGTATATTAATTTAAGATTGCGACAGGAACCCATAAACTTCAAATTCTGGATCCGCCTCTGTAGACAGATGTTGACACCTAATTTTTCTCTATATATTTCTTATATGCAAAATAACTTCAAAATGGAATATATATGCATATGTAAGAATATTCAAGGGTTTTTATTATTTTTTCATAATATTTAAAGGTTTTCAAATTAATTTATTTTCATCTTTTATCCATAAAAAAATCAATGATTATTTCCAAAATTATTATTTTGGTAATTCATTTGTTGGACTTTTATATTTATGCTAAGATATAGCTAAGGTATTTTTTGCATATTTTTATAAATTTTATTTTAGTAATTTTAAGCTAAATTGCATATAATTGCAATATTAGCCCCTTTTAGATTTAATTGTGTTTTATATTCATAAATTAAATTCAGTATTTTTAAATTATTAATTATATGTTGTAAATCCTCTTAGTGCTTTAAATTTATTTTCAGAAATTAACTTACTATTTTTTATAAAAAAATTTAAAAAAAAAAAGGAAAATGGCTATTTAAATGATAGCCCAATATCATTTCAATTACAGCCTAAAATTGAGCCTCAATTTGAACCCAATTTTCCGGCCCAATTCCCACTCAAACCCGACCCCCTAACCTAATTTAAATGACCCAACCCGGTCGCCCCGCCTAACCCCTTTAATCCTGGCCGTTGATCAAAATGATCAACGGCCACCATTTGACCTTTCCTTTTTAACCCCAAACGACCCCTAAACCTATCTCATTTCTCACCTATCGCCGCCCTTGAACCCCCCTTCTCTCTCAACTCTCTCTGAAACTCTCATGAACCCTAGCCGCCGCCCTCTCACCCCACCCTAATACCTACCTAATCTATGACCTTCCGTGGTCATTTGAGGCCTGTACCAGCCTTCCATGGCTCCTATGTGTTTGCTTCTATGGTTCATGACCAGACCTCGAATGAGTCTGGTCCAGTCCTTGCTCGACTGTTGTTCATGGCCCTTCTCCGGCCATCCACGACCTTTTCCGGCCATCCATGGCCTTTCAAGGCAGGTCCTTGACTTTTTCCTGTTAGATCGTTAACTCTCGAGACCTTTCTCGTTTCTTTTGGGTTTTCTAAAACCCTAATCTCTAAGACCTTTCAATTTCTTTAGATCTACTTTAGATCTGTACTTGCTATGAGTGTTTTAAGTGTTCTCTCAAAAGTTTTTCAACTTTCTTTCAAAAAACTGTCACACCTCCTCTTTTACACACCTACCCCGGAGGATAATCTATAAGGGAGTTTTTTCATTTAAAGTGACATTATTCGAAATGGGATTATTTATTTATTTTTAGAGTCGCCACTTGGGATAGGATTGGCTTTTGGTGTCCCAAGTCACCGGTTTAACTTGAATCCCAAATCGAAGAAAATTTTGACTTCCCAGTTGGAGTCTGCGAACCAGAAATTCTGAATAAGGAATTCTGTTGACCCGAGGGAAGGTGTTAGGCACCCCCGGATCCCGTGGTTCTAGCACGGTCGCTTAAATTATTATAATTGGCTAAAAATATGATTTTAATACATGTTTTAACTTATGTGCTTTTTAAATTTAAACCGCTTTTATTATTTATTTTTAAAGAGAATTGCAACGTCGTGAAAACGCGTCTCGAACCACGTCACATAAATGCACCTGCGATTTTTGACACATTTCGACTTCGTTGAGATTTGGATTTGGGTCACATAAATGTGCACCGAGTTTAGGAAGGTAGAATTATTAAAAGCGCGCCTAAAGCGACTAACGTATTATTAACTTTGTGGGAGGCCATGAAATTCGCTAAATGGCGCGTCCCGAATCCTAAGGATTTTAATATGAACATTTAAAGAGGGCCCCACAATTTATGCATTTTGTTTGGCGGGGCTCACCTCATTTTATTATTTAAGGTCAACCTAAAGCAAACTATAATTTTCTATCGGATTTGTCTCTAAAGGACCCTAATTAATTAATATTATCAATGCCATTATTTAAAGTGACCAAGGAATTTGGGCCTCAAGTTTAAATCCACACTTTAACAAGAGGCAAACCTCTTAATTCAAGCATGCTACTTAACTAGAAGGCCCAAAGCCTATATCATAAAATTGATCCCATAACTCTAAAGTGACTTTAAGTCTTCAGCATTCTTTTGGGCCTCCAAAGTCAGTCCGGTAATGTGGAAACATGATCAGATTTTCGCATTTGGGCATTTAGACAACAAAATTTAGGCCCAAACTTATTCAAATAGGAAGCTGCTAGGTTTTGGCCTTCCCGAGCCCGCAACCAAATATTGACCCCTGTATGGATCTTCAGCTGTTAATTTTAATTCACAACAGCTCGAATAGAAGGCTGATTTAAATTCCAGATGTTGATTTTTATCAAAGAACTTCGAAACCAACTATTACATGAATATGCAACTCACACAATTAACCAAATTTGTTGAATTAGAAATTCCAAAGCCAAATCAGTTTAAATCAACACATTATAATGATTTTTATGTATGAATTTGGGCCTGTAAATGAACAACGAATTATCCAGTGTAATTTAAGCCAAAAACGCCTGATCTTACACTAATAAGCATGCAACCCAGTTTAAATTCAATTTTCTAATCGGTAACTTAACAAATCTGAATTAATTCAAACTACAACTGACATTTGCTAACTGTTCACAATAATTCGAATGTCCAATGATTAACTACAAATGAAGATCTAGAATCAGTTTCGTTCTATTACTAAGGCTAATGACTAAACTAATCACAAAAATGAAATTACTAAGGCTAATGACTAACCGAAAGTTCAACAGTCCAACAGTCTATTAACAGTCCAAAAAAAGTCCCAATTATACAGTCCATAGTCTAAGTTAATACAAAATAGACAAATAGTCTAAAAAAACACTATTGAACTAAATGTTTAAGTACATAGACCAGAACAGATTCATGCGAAGAACAAGGAGTTATTCTATATTTCTCTTCAAATGCGTTCATACATATGGATCCAGTCTTCATACAACACTTGAGGTTAGAAATGTACCTGGATATGGCCAAAAGAAATGGAAATTCAAGTCAGGAGGTAGCGAATGAGAGCAGTAGCAGGAAACAACCAGCAGCAGTAATTTCAAACGAATTCCACACCCAGTAAGTGGCATCAAATCATCCAAGGAGTAATTTCAGGCAACAAACACCAGTAAACAAACCAGAAACACCTTGAATGAACCAAAAAACAACTCGAAAATCACCCTAGGAACTTCTGAACCTCAGCTACTAAAACACGAAGAAGACTCAGGCCATTTTCAACTTTAGATCAGCTGGAATGCTAATTCAAAACTGGAAATCTAAGATCACTCTAGGAAATTCAATGGAATAGTAATTCTGATTTGAATTTTTGCTTTTTTTTTTTGGTTTTTTGTGAAGAAACTAAGATCTCTGAACTTCAGATTTGGTTTTTGGAGTTTTCCAATTCAAATTTCAGATCTGGAAACTTGTAGAAACTTTTGGGGAGAGTTTTTTTAGAGGCTGAAAACTTGTGAAACAAGGCAGTATCTACTGCCTTTTATAGGCAAAAGTTGAGGGGTTTTTCAGATTTTAATTTTTCACCTTAGTCCCTCTATTTTCTGACTTGTTACTCAAGTTACTACACTAAAAATTGCTGAAGTTTAAACTAAAGCCCTATTCTAGAAGGGTCTAGGGAATTCTAGCTTTATCTACAACATTTCTCTACATGGGAATACCTAAACTACCCTTCATTCAATCTGAAACTACTGAACTAGCCTAACTAAAACCCCAGCCTCTTTTATTAAAATGCAACTATAGTTAACCCAAGTAACTCTAATTCAGCTATACCCAATCAACTAACACTAATGGAAATCCTAACAATCAAACATACTTAGTCCAGGCTGAAAATAATTCTAATCATATTAAATCAATAACATTGAAAGAAACCCAATCTAATGAACTAGTTAACACTGAATTGAAACAATGATTAAACTAAAAGAGGATCATGAGAACACATTTAAACATGAACAAAATTAAACTGACATGATTAACAATAGAATAAAAATCAAACCATCAATTGTACTAGCCCAAATCAGAAAAACAGAAGGAGTATCAACTGAGTTAAAACCAATAATCAAAAATTGACAATAATCTATACTTAAACTAATAACAAACTTAGATGAATTAATTCGAATTGTCGACTAATAAGACCCCAAAATGACACAATTAAGAGCAGAAGAGAAAAAACCTAATTATTAATCCTAAACAAACAAAACCAGGCTCAAATCAATTAAAACGACTAACAATAGGAACACTCAATGAACTCACCAATAAACTCCTAGGGTCCAGCTATTTTTCCTCAGATTGAAAATTCGATTGACTCGGGCGAGATTTGAGTGCTACTGGTGATGGATTCGTCATGAGGGGAGTGAGGAGACCACGTGGTGTGAATTTGGTGAAATTTAGAGGATTTAGGGTTTTGGGGCCCGAGTTTCGATTTGAAATTTGAGGAATCTGGTGGTGATTTGAGGGAATCTAAACCTAGACATGGAAAGAAGAGGAGGAGAGGAGAATGGGGTGTGATTTTGGGGGCGTTTGGAGGTGGCGCCGCCGTGGACGGCGGAGATGACGACGACTGTTCT